GGCACACGGGACACGCCCAGCACGCAAGAGGGACAGGCTGCAGCCACGCAGCTCCTGGCCGGGCCCCCTACATGCAATGCACATACGTAGCCGCACGGCAGTGGCACCCCCCGGTCCCATATGCAGGACGCCTGAGTCGGCCGCCTGGCCGTCCCCAGGCTGGGCTCCCTCTCCACGGGCATCCTGCACGGAGCCGCGAGGCCGCGCGATGCTGGGCCGTGAAACGCCGCTGCTGGCACTCGCCTACCTCCACGATCCGGTCGTGGATCTGCAGGCCTCCGTCCTTGGCTGCCGGCCCGCTGTCCACGATCTTGGACACGAAGATGCCTTCGCTGGACGGTCCATCTTGGCTGTCCTTTGGGTAAAAAACACACGCGTGACTGGGAGGCAGTGAGCGGGACATACAAAGCCGCCCACCCTCCTAAGCCGCCCGTGGCCACCGAGCAGGGCCACGTCTTCCCCTGACGCCTGTAAGCTGAGCTGAGCGCAGGCGCGCAGCAACGGGGCACAGCACCCCGACGGCTGGCGTCAGCCCTGGCGTCCCCAGTGGCAGCATCTGTCTGCACCCGGCCCCTCCCTGGCCCACGGCTGCCCCTCCCAGCACACAGGCAGGGCCGTGCCCTCTGCCGCTTTCGGGGACTCTGACGGCTGCGCGGGCACCTCACCGCCAGTCCCACGGCCCACCCGACGCCCTAAGCGCCCACCGGACCCGGCCCAGCCACGCTCAGCACTGCCCCAGGCGTTGCTACGGTGACGGTGCCTGCGTTCTGGGAAGCCTCTGCGAGAGCTGAGGGGGGCTCGTCCCCAGCCATGGAGGGGGGCTCAGAGGACACGCCCGCCTGACCGACACCGACATCGGCCCTCCCAGCTCCTGGACGCCGCGCTTCCCCACAGCCTCCCCGGCTCGCAGCGTTCGTAACGCTCAACGGCTTTTCAACATCTAATCATCCAGTGGTGAAAAGAGGTGTTTTATTGTCGTTCTGATTTGCACCAGGAAAGCCCACTGCCCAAACCTGGGCTCTCTACCGCCCGTCTCCTCAAACCCCTCCACGTGGGTCCAGACCCGACTGGACCGTCCTGGGGACGGAGACAGCCCCTGCTCGCTCGCGCTGCCCTTCCCGCAGGACCCAGGCCCCCGAGCTCGTAAGTGGCCCGGCCTGACCCGATCGCCTTCCAACAGACTGGGGCAAGCCGTCTCCGAGCGTGTGCACTGCGTTCTGGCGACTGGCACATGGATTTATAAATTAAAGGCACAAGCATGTGTTTTTTCTAAACAAAACCACTTGAAGACCAAGTTCAGGACATTCCACAAAGTCTAGAATCTACCATCACGGGAGCTCCCGACAGAGCCACAGGGCCCATTTCCGTAGGAATTGCTCTGCGTGCAAACACACAAAATTCCATTTGTAAAAAAACTAAGAAAATACAAGTTTCCTCCTTAAACAGCAATACTGCACCACACTGTACATGGGGACAGGTGACTGAATGTGGCCTGTCCAACTCCTTCAAGTGCCACAGCAGCGGCTGCAGGTGGGGAAAGACAGTCACAGGTACGGTTCCAGAGAAACCCGAATCGACCTGAAATGAGCGTTAAGTATCTTTCCCAACATGCACCCCAAGTGACAAAGACGGGCCTCTAGCAGCCACCTGGGTCCCATCAGCAGCCTTCCGGGAGGGGTCAGGGAGGCCGTGGGGGCTGTGCTGCGTCAGCTGTCCCCCGCGGCCCCGCCCCTGCCTGCATGTCCGTGGGCCCCTCACAGCTGCCCTCCCCCGTGCGTCTGTGTGGCCCCCCAGCTGCTAGCAGGCAGCCTGCTTCCTGTGCATGGACTGGGGCCACGGGCCACCGGGAGCTGAACGGCCAACGTCAGGTTCTCACAATCAACACAGGCAGTAAGTATACTGAGTCCATTTCATCCATGAAAAACCTGGGACAGAGAGGGCACATCCACCCTGCACCGAGGCCACAAAGCTGGGACACAGCTTGGGTCCGTTTAAAATTGGGGACAGGTCATTCTGTCACACAGGCTCGAAGCACAGGGTTGTCTCCCCCTGAGAAAAATCTCGAAACTACACACACAGGCAGAGGACCGACATTCCAGGCTCTGGAATATTCCACCAGAGAACCTGGAAAAGGCTCCGCGGCCCCGAAAGGATTTATGGACAAGCCTGAATTCCCTAGGAGGTGATGTCAACATATGCACAGCGGGGAGGTCTGTGTTTACTCTGACTTAACCGCTTTGCATTTCTTGGCAGGGAAGACGGAGCCGGGGGAGGGGGCGCTGGCTCGGT